GACTTTGTTAAAGGGTAAAGTTCAATAATGCGTCGAAAAATATTTGGAAACCATTATTTGCGTTTAATTTAAGTTAGAATTCGGCCTCATCAACTATCACCTCATAGAAATCTCGAGCTCATAATCTAATTGTTAATTAGGAAAAGGAAATAGATAAGAAGGACGAAGAAAGCCATTTTCAGATTTAAAAAAAAAATGGGGCTTCTTCTGGGTTCCCCAGACAACTTTCCTAGGTCTGGCACCGGGTCCCTGAAACAGGTTCTGTTACATACTTTAAGGTGGGTATAAATATATTTTAACGTGTATTTCCCTACAGGTACCGTGCTAGAAGGTGAGATGCCAGTACCATCGAACATAAACAAACCCAAGCTGTCTCGCCAGTCGCGTTGGGGAATCATTGCAGTGACGACCGGAGTAGTAATTGTCGTGGCTGTTGTTCTACTCGGACGTTGGAAACAATTCAGAGAAACCAACGGTGAGGTGTTTGTTTCTTAGCTAGCCTGAGCGCAAAAGATCTGTAATAATCCCTCTCTTGTTATATAGCTGGCTTTTTCCCGCTAGAACGCGCTGGCTAGTTCATGGTCACTTGACATCTAACAGTGAAACTGTTTCCCGCCAAATGCATGAGTGGGCAACATTGCGAAAAACTATGACGTCATTCGTCTCGGGAAATATGGAGATTCGAGGGAAACAAAATTCACTCTTACCCTCGGAACCAGTGATTAAGTGTTGAAAATAACACCTTAGCCCTTAACTCGAAAAATAACTATAATGCATGTCGTCTTGTGTGATGGGCACTTTGACCGTTACCGGTTGCGGAGCAGGGATGGTACAGTGGTGAGAACGCTCGCCTACCGGTGCCATATGTGGGTTGAGTTGGTTGTTGGTTCTCGCCTTGCCCCGAGGGTTCTGGGAGAAATCGGAAGATAAGCCCGCATTAGACACAGCCGTTGCTCTCTATCTCACGGGCATGTATCAAAACCGTTACTGTATATACTTAAACGCGTGCACACAATTGAAACGAAGCCAGAATCTTGTGGTCCTTTCTTCTGAGCGTCGAGTGTTCGGTCACCAGAAACGCGAGGGTTTTGGGAACGAAGTTGTCCACACGAGCCACGTACCCCCGCTGCACCAGAAGTTGTGACGTTACTGGTAACTTAGTAACCTCGCTAACGAAAACCATGGGCAAGGTAAGAAATATATATATTTTTTTATTAACATCGCTCTTCTCGTTCAGGATGCTTCTTCAAATGTCTTCAGCGCCCTCGTTGTCCAGCATCATCAGATTGTTGCGATGGCACCTCCGTGTCAAGTATTGCGGCATCTAATGCGGAACAGGTGATTTTCTATTCAGTGACGGTTACTGAACTCCCACTACTTGCTCTTTGCTTTAATTGTCCATGACAGTCTCTTCTCTCCTATCCTTGACCCTTAAATAAAAGAACTTAGCCAGAACGTGCGTTACTTTAAGATGATTTGTATCAGGATCAATGATCCAAGATCAGGTAGGAACTGATGAATCCATTCTGGGCAAGGTTTATTCTATGCACTGATCCGAATGATTTAAATCATTGATCCTGACCTGGATATTCCCAAAGGAACGCACTCTTAATCTAACAATTTTCTGGTAATATCAATGAAGCAGGAGATGAAGCTAAAGAAAAGACATTAAGAGAGTACAGTCTAGCTTTAGAATTCAGTGGCTAGGGACAAATATGAATGCTGTGGTCTGAATTATGTATACCTGTTTTCGTAATGTAAAAATACATCAGTGAAATGTTAACACCCAAAGTTAAGAAAATTAAGAAATTAATGTGGATCAAAATGAAGTAAAAATCTAAAAAGTAATAACAGTTTTGTCGGCTGCCAGCATGCTAGTTGTCATAGACAAGAGACTGCGATCATACCCAGAGAAAAATGATTAGAAGAAGACGTGGTTTGACGATTGAAAGTTCGGGTCCCATGTCATTTATTAATTAGTTAAGTTCCATTATTCCACGTTAGTCAAATGGGTTTTTTGTTTGTTGGTTTTTGTTTTAGCAGAATCTGATGGGGAACCCTGTGAATCATGGAATCCCTGTGACAGTAACTATCGAGCATGAATCAAACGAGTCTCCTCCGAGCTCTAACACTGTAACTCAACACACCTACCTTCCTTCTGAACGCACGGTTGTGGCCGCAGATGTTCACCGTGATTCAGTGTTTAATTTGTTTAACATAAGGCAACCAGTCGACAGTACTACACGGTACGTCTCTGCCGACCGGTTACGTACTCCCATATATAAGCTATACGCGTTTGTGCCGCCGTGAAGGGGATGGTTTTCAAGCGGTTTAGTCTGGGATAGGGCATAGAAATCAGACAGTTTTGGTCTCAAATAGGGTAAAATTTACCAGAAAAGTGGCCAGTGTATAAATAATTTAGTCTAGAACAGGGGTCTTTACCCGGGGTTGAATTGCATAAAAGAAATTGAAACTCAGGAGTGAGAACTTCTCATAAACAGATGTGACTTTGAATGATAGAGGTTTAGTTTATAGGGTATGTTGGACTACGATAGTGATAAAGGTTCTGCATGTCAAATAGCTAGTCTGGTATAGGGTAGGGGTTTTTGGTGCCTGGTCTAGAATAGGGTTGCAAAATCAAACTGATCATGGTCTAGTACAGGGTGAGGGCTTCAGTGACCCAGCGGTCATCACCCCACCCAAAGATTTACAGAGTACCCCCCGGGACGTCTCTTAAATTGGAATCATAAAGTTTTCACGTTCTGTACGTTTAAGTCAGACTAGATTAGAGCTTCAGGCCTTATTCCCCATTCTGGGTGAAGGAATCACGTAAAAGGCAGCAGTATACCTCTTTTAAGTCACCGCTGTGTTAAATAAATGACATGACATAATGTGACGTGACACTGTCATGTCACACAATATCACATGACACTTAACGTATCTCGTGTCTGCCTCCTCGTAGATCCGGCCTAAAGTACATCACCCATGCAGAGACCACTATCAACAGCACGGGTGGAAAGTTATCGTCCCCAGACTCAAATATCAGCATCATCGTTGATAGTGGAGCTGTACCCGAGGGAATTAACCAGCCTTTCTCCTTCCGTGTTGTCTATGACGAAACATCCTTGCTGCGGGATATTCCGGAAAGTCACGATAGGACTCTCATCTCCCCATTGTTTTATTGTGGACCCGACAACATTAACGTTCTAAAGCCGGTGGAAATTATTGTTCCACACTGCCTGTACTTAGACGAAGTTAGAAAGGACTCAATATCTGTTTACAGATGTGGCAGCTATTCTGATGACGGTAATAGCACCATCATTTGTTCTCAGTATTTCTCTAAAGGCAGTTAATTATTTAACAAGACTTTATGTATCGCTTGGTTGACGGGGGCGCTACGACTAAAATTTTATTTCTGAACGAGACGTAGGCTGTGTGTGGACATTTGAGTAGCAGGGTGAAACTGTAACGTGTACGTTTTTGTTTTGTTTCTGTTTTGTTTTGTTTTGTTTTGGTTTGGTTT